CCCCAAAACCCCAAAACCCCAAAACCCCGCAAAGTTTACAATTACTAATATAATAGCGATTATAAATTTGAATTTAAAATTAAACTAATTAAATATACGCAAAATGTAGTTTTTGAAATTGTGCTGCTGGAAAGATGCTTTAAGAGCAGATATTGAATTAGGAGGTATTAAGAAGCGGAATAATGGAGAACCCTAATTAGTTTTGAATGTTTCGATAACCTATGGAAGTATTAGAAGTAACACAGATTTTTTATATTTGCAACCATAAAAAGATCCAAATCAAGCGAGATAAGAGCTTAAAAGCATCACTAACACCAGTACAGCTAGTTCTTAAGTGCCAAGATTTCATGATAATCTAGGACTTAGAGACAGAGATAACATACCCAAGAGGTTAAAAGATGTAAAGTAGGAGAGAGTTATTCTTATTGAGAAGGACACAAATTTGTGTGATAATATCGGTCATGGTTATATTGATTTGCAGACTTAGAAAGGGAATTATAAGGTATACTATTTGAGAATTGAAAATGAGCAAAGAATTCTATCAAATAGCAGACTAGAAGTAATTGGTGAAAGTGTGATGTTTACGCTAGACTAGTTAAATAGTGAAAGCGATAAAAGTAGAGATAAATTGAGAGAATAAAGCTCAAGTGAATAATAAAAATCTTACGAGGAATCATACTCTTACACAAATCAAGATTCCTATAATTTAGTAAAAAGATAACTTTAAGGGAGTCCGAACTCCTATGCTGAGTCAAGTTTAGATTCTGCTGTACTTATGAGATAAATATAATCAAACCCAGTTGCTAATTCATATTCTCAATCTATGTTATCATCAGATTAAACTAAATTAATTGGATAAAATTCATAGTATGATGGAGATTCAGGTTCGATTTCATACTAGCATTAATCTAATTAGTATGATAACCAGTAATCTTCTAATTCCTAATTTTATTCAGAAGGTAACAGCAGATAGAGCCAAAATTAATCTCAATCAATTATTGTGAAGAAAGATGCTGATGACTCACTCCTCTATTCAAAATCAAATCAATCAAAAAGTAAACATAGAAGAGGGCAAAATATGCAATTTGTACTTGAAGACTTATCAAATCAAAACATTGCAAGAAGAATAAATTAAAAGTAATAAAATTAAGGATAAGGTAGTAATTTAAGCATAAGAAAAAGAATTGCACCTAGTGGAAAAGAAAATTTAACTGAAATTAGGCCAAAAAGAGGAGGAGAAAATATGGACTAAAAACCTTACTCGCTTACAGCAGCAAGTCTAATGAAGAAGAAAAATCTATTTGGTGGGCCTTCAAGAAATTTTCAAAACATGCTTACTGAGGAAGATGATTTAGATGTTAGATATGTAGACAATATTGATAGTATTGCCCCACTTCAGTATTATCCATAGACAAAAACTTATTTTAAGTGCTCAATCTATTCTCCATCAAATAGACTCTTCACTGTAAATGAAGAAGTTAATTCAACTTAGAGTGACCTAGGAGATTTTACATAATCTCATATAGTAAATGGGTTAAGAGTATCTGGGTTGTTGTTTTCATAAAAGAAGGCATAACAAGTAAGCGATAGAATCATTGATGAAAATTAAAAAATTGAGGAGGAGGAAAACGATGATGAAGATCCTGGAAATCTTTCAGAAGGTATGATTTTACCTTAGACTCCAACACCAAAGATCATTTAGCAAATGAAAAATCATAACTTAAATGATGAAATTAGTGCAAAAATATCTAATGGTATATCAGGTACTCATACGCGCACAAGTTCAACAAAAGCTTAATCTCTGAGAGGCTCTATCCATTTATAAAAGCCATTAGGTTCACATTTCTCATCAATAACATCTCTGCATCCTCCAATAACAAATAATTCAATTAAAAACATAGAAAAGATTGATAAGCAGCTCTTGAATAAATTTTTAAGAGAAACTTTCTCTGGAGTATTACCTTAAGAAAGTGGTATATAACGATTTAAGAGAGAAAAAAATGGAGACTCAATAGATGATCTAAATGACGATGTCTAAAAATATATATAACCGATGCCTAGCTCATTTGTTGTTCAGGGCGAGTCTGATTTTCTTTTGAAAGGCCAGACATTTGGGTAGCAAAAATAAAGTGATCCTGTAATATCATATGGAGGACCAGAAGCTTCAATTAAATAAAGAAAGAAGTCAATTGAAAGCATTGGCAAACTTTCTAGAGGTTCTTAAAAAAAGAAAAATCTTCTATCTGTTGAAAAGACACTTATTAAAATTCCTTAAGCTGTTGGATCAAGAAAGAGTTCAAATCATGTATCTTCAAATGGATCTGTAAATGATAAATCAGAATAAAGCCCTGAAACGTATTATGATGAAGAAAACAGAAAAGTTTTTATAATCTAAAATAACTTTGAACAAGGCCAGCAAGTATAGCACTGCATTAAATGGGAGGAGAATACTGATTTAAAGCTAGTAGGTCGTGCAATAGATGATGTCATCACAAAAGTAAAAAAGCTAGCCTCCCCTCAAAAGTTATAATTATGATTTGTTTTTTCGAAGGAGTTCCTATCAGTCTTTTTGTGTATTCGTAATTTAAATTTTCAATAGAAAACTATAAGAGAGCTATCTGCATATGATTCTTATCATATTGCTTTTAATTTTCTCAATATAATTGCAATTATTCATTGTATTCTTTAAAATGAAATCAAGGGGTTTTGGGGTTTTGGGG